GGAAGGAAGGAAGGAAGGAAGGAAGGAAGGAAGGAAGGAAGGAAGGATTCCAAACACTTTCCAAACAGCCTGGTGCATTCATATCCCAACAAAAACTTAACACAGATTGTAATAGCTAAGCAGTTTATGGAGATTCGGTACAATAAAAAAGGAAATATTAACATATGAAAAGTGCCATTTTATGCTTAGGTACAAACTATATCCTATATGATTGTTGCTTTATTTAATATTTCCCACAAAACAATTTGGAAATCAAATTGGTACCAAATTCTCCTTAAAAAATCTTTTTTTCACTTCTGTTGCTCTAAACAAGTTTTGATTCTCTTCTGATATCATTGCATGACTTTCAAATTTTGGCATAGCTTTTAACATAGCTCAGGCTTCCTTCTCAGCCTCCTGAGATCTTTGAGTATTTGTCTCCTAAGGGACATTCTAGTAGAGATGGCCCAATCCAGCACAGAAGTCAACAGACAGACTGTCTGGCTCCAATTTGTGCCAACTGCTAATGCAGCCAAAAGCATTTGTATTTTGATATAGGGAAGTGTTATAGTTGATCTTATCTCTTTTGCAATGTTGGCAATCTCTGGATAAGGCCCATATTCCCATGAGCCAATAACCTGAGAGGGCTTTTCCATATATCTATAGCAGCAATACCTGCAAGAAAAGTCAAAGCAGATTAACACAGAACCATCCCTGTTGGATTTTGAATAATTTGACAGTAGTACGTTATTAAAATGATGATTTCTTTACTATTTCTTAATGTCCTGTTTAAAAATAATTGCTCACATTTCATTTTTTATGTATGGGTAAATGGATGGAATTCATCACATACTTGATTAATAAATTACTTTGGAAAAAAAGCTGCACAATTTGCTACAGAAATACAGTATATTCTGTAATTTCTAGATTGGAGAATTGACATGAATTTGATACAATGAGATAAATATTGATTATATTTGATATAATGAGCTTAAATATTCAAAGAAGTAAAATGGTACTTAACAGTTAATTTACTTTAAACTTATATTAATGTAAAAGTCTAAATATTTTATTTAGTTAATTATCTGTAGCTAACATTTATTATTTTTACAAATAACTCAAGATAGTGCATATATCCAACACATCTTCCTCCTCCTCTTTTTCCCAAAACAACAATCCTTTCAGATGAGTTGGCTGAGAAAGTGACTGGCCCAAGGTCACCTAGTTGGGTTTCACGGCTAAGGCAGAACTAGAATTCACAGCCACCTGGTTTCTAGCGTGGTATGTTAACTGCTGAACAAAACTGACTTTCTTTGAAAAATATTATTTTCTCAAATAAAATATTCTTTGTTGGTATGAAACTTCCAAGAGATAACTCAGTTGTTGGGGAGGGGTGTGTGGAATTGATTGACCTTTCAGATTGAATTTTCAGATGCAGATCATAAATTCAGGGCCTTCAGATAGAGTATAGAAAGGAAACTCTACTGGAGTAACGTGATCTGTTTCTTCTGCTTCACTCTTCTTGAATTTGATTAGGTTGGAGAGAAAAAAGAGAAACTTAAATTTATTGCACTGTTGTTGTTTCTTAATCACCTTGCTCTTATGTCTCTCTGACAAATTCTCTATTTGTCCTGTGGCCCTGAGATAATATGCTTGCTGGTAGATTATGTACTGTATATTTAAGAGTATTTTTAATTGGCATTGGGTATTATATGTGCAATAATGAATATATATATATATGTGTGTGTGTTTTCTTAAGTTTTCGCGGGTAAATAAATATAAATATGTATGCTATTCAGCGTTGTTTGGGTATTTTCCCACGTCAGTATAGTTGTGCTTTTAAAGTTGTAGCAACGTTTCAGCAGAATCTCATCTGCCATCATCAGGCTTTTGTATTGGGTTCGACAGACGAACCTATATATATATATATATATATATATATATATATTTTTTTTTTTTCTTAAGTTTTCGCGGGTACTTACATGTATGGTATTCAGCTTTGTTTGGGTATTTTCCCACGTCATTGTAGTTGTGCTTTTAAAGTTGTAGCAACGTTTTGGCAGAATCTCATCTGCCATCATCAGGCAGTATACAGAATACAGAAGTATACACAATACAGAAGCCTGATGATGGCAGATAAGATTCTGCTGAAACGTTGCTACAACCTTAAAAGCACAACTACAATGACGTGGGAAAATATCCAAACAAAGCTGAATACCATATCTATCTATCTATCTATCTATCTATCTATCTATCTATCTATCTATCTTTGGTTATTCGGGTTTTCTCCTGCGTAAAATTGGAAGTATCTAGGCCACGTTTCGATGAAGTCTCATTCATCATCTTCAGGCTTGTGTCTTCGGCTCTGTGCTTCTCAGAGTAATGTGAGCTTGCAGCTGCTTCTTCCTTTTAACTGCTAGTGGGGGTGTGACTTGATTGGGTGGGGGCTTGGCTGTGTTCTGATTGGGTGGGGGGTGTTCTCATTGGTTGGGGGCCTGGCTGTGCTCTGATTGGCTGGGGGCCTGGCTGTGCTCTAATTGGCTGGGGGGGTGTTCTGTTCAGGTGGGGGCTTGGTTGTGCTCAGGTTAGTCTTAGTTGCTGGGGGATTTGAGTTGGTGAGCTGTGATCCTGCTGTTGGCCAGATCCACCAGATCCAAAATAAAAGCCTCCCCCATCAGCGAAGAAATCCAGCAAAGAATCATACCCAGAGAGAAATCATCCAGATGCCCTAAGCTTTATGGTCTCCCCAAGATACACAAAGAAGGAACCCCACTTAGACCAATAGTCAGCTCCATAGGCTCACCTCTACAAAACCTAGCCAAATTTCTCGCCAAACAACTACAGCCCTATGCAGAATCCATCAACTCACATGTAAGAAACTCATTCCAGTTCATTGAGATCATAAAGAAATATATATATACACACACACACACATACATACATACATACACACACACACATACACGCACACACACGCACACACACACACGCATACATACATACATTTGTCAGATTTGTTTTTTAAAAAATTTTTGGACAATCAGCATATAACACATTATTCCAAAATGTCACTAATTTTTAAAAATTATTTTTATTGAACTATGATTAACAAGCATCATCAAGTAATTAAAATAACATAAATCCAATATGCATAGAGAAAAGATATAGAAAATGCAAACAAATGTAAACAGAATGTACTATACATGTACAAATTTGCCTTATATATTATATTATAATCGATTACTGTTGAGGTAAACCATAAAAATCCATCCAAATTTGATAAAATTGTGATTCCTTCCTCTGATTACTCATTGTTTTTAAATTTGTTTTTAATGCAGCAATTGAAAATTTTTTGTTAATCCACATCTCAATTGTTATGTAATCAATGATTTTGCAATAAAATTAAGCAATTATTATTTTAACTTTTAAATAGATAAAAACGTTCATTTTGGTTGTTCTAGAAGAAGAATAACACTAACATTTAAAAGAGAAAGGAATAATTTATAAAATGTATTGCTGTGGAACCTTTGAAGATACTTTACTGTATACTTTGCAGTGTCTCTCCTCCTTGTTATTTTCATCCACCTTTGCCTTCAAATGAAGTTGCTGGACACATTTATGATGTCTCCCTATTGTAGGCTAAATTAAATATTTCATCAAGTTGAACCTTGAATTTCAAATCAATTTGAATTGAGTCTTCTTGCCTTTAGTCTTTAATTGCAAATAGGAATAGAATGTTGATACCTATATGTCAGATCAGATCTTGACTAATTTGTGTACCTCTTATTTTTATTGGAATATTATCACTCTCAGCCAGTCTTCTGAAAGCTCGCAGATTTGCACACAAACCACCATACAACAGCAGAAAGGTTTCAAGGTGTTTAATGCCAAACAACAAACTTCCCATCTGGCATGAACGGCATTACAATGCCGTTCTAGATTAGCACTGGAAGCTTCTGCCTTCCAATATTATTTAAAGGTATAAACACACCCACCTAAATGCTTCTATCTCCTGTACTCGCCCCAAATTAGCCCCTTAATTACCCTCTAGGTCACCATCTGGTTATACCTAATATGTCCATTGTTTCCTATCTCTGCAATCTATCTTTTGCCTGTGAACCCTACCTACTCGCAAGTAAACTATATACCCAGATTCCCCTCCCCCATCATCCATTGCAGCACTACAGTTGATTCCAAAAGCCACAAAAGGACGGGAGTTTCCCAGACTCCCCTCTTGTCACCGTCGACATCCCACTCCACCGACGGTGCGTTTGATGCAGCTAAACAATCCTGGAAGTATACAGTGTCAAACTTCAGCGGCTCTTGCAAACGTGCTGACGGGCTCAGTTTATCTATCAGCACTAACGGAGCCCAACAATCACTTTATCTACAGAAGAAGTAATAACCCACTCTGCTCAATTTGTTATAGGATGTTATTACCTATCAAATATTTACCCTGGTACATGTATTCTTTCTGCTGTTTCATTCTAATCACAATGCTATTCCTGGCTTTTTTGTTCTATTAACCAGGTGGTTATCTTTTTACTCTGGTTACTTACTACATAGATTTTTTTAAAATTAATCTTTGTTTCACATTCCCTCAATTTGTATTTCCAAAATAATATATTTTGTAAATAGTTCCTAGGGAATATCCTTCTATAACATCTTCCCCTTTCATAGGAGTCTAGAAAGTTGTTTTTGGCCCAGGGCCGCCATTCAGGCAGGGGAGGGGTAGCCAGCTGGGTCATGTGCGCATGGGCATCAACAGCCACACCAGACTGCTTTCCTGGCAGGGAGGAGCCGCTAGCTGAAACAGCATTCCAGATACACGCCTGCATCACATGGATCCTGCATCCATGGAGCTACTGGCTGGCTAGCGGAGACGCAGACTTTACCCAGCTGATTGTTGGCTTGTGAGGGAACAGCTGATTGTCAGATCATGGAAAAACAGCTGAATGTCAGATGGCAGGAAAACAGCTGATTGTCATATTTTGGCTGGAAGCAATAGGCTGGGTGTGATAAGCCAGGATGGGCGGCTGGGGGCGTGGTTGGACTACGTCACCGTATTGGCAGCAAGTAATCAGTGGGATGGGAGGGGAGTAACATGGGGCAGTGGAGCACAATGTAAGGAGTGGTGAAGTAACCATGGTAGCACAAACTTTGATTCCTTTCTAGTTGGTCGCTTTGTGCCGGGTCCACGTTCCCAGATAAACATTATCACATGTGTTGCTGTGTTGCTGGGACACCAGAACGTGACAGTTGTATTCTTCCAGTTGTGTGCAGCTGTGCTTTCTTATTTTGTATTTAATATATTTCCATTCTGCTCATCATTATAAAATCCTGAATAATTTACAACAGTATAACAATAATATTGCAAGATAAAAGTAATTCCTTAAAAAGGAAAGACGATAATGTGTTGGTACCTGGAAAGGGGCTATAAAAAAGGTATCTTTTTTTTTTCAAAGATGTGGGATGGATAGGAAAGGTTCACATCCATAATTCAGCAAGTAGCAGTCCATACTGTCTGACACACAGAGCAGGATTTTTCCTCTCCCCTCAAAGAGTATAGTAACCACAAAGATGATGTAATTGAATATATTCTTCGGTGTAACTTGATCTGAGACTTTGAGCCACAAAATTCTATCAGTAACCTAGCTGCCACATTCTTCCCTAATTTTAGCTTCCAGCGCTTTCCAAGGGCAGCTCCCCACTGAATGCATTACAGTAATCCAATCTGAAAGTATTGATCATTCTTTTTAAACTAAAAGCAGCATTTTATTATTTAAAAAGAAGAAACAGCACAGCAAACATGATGTGAAAAGCTTACTGTTCAGTTTTTGCACACCTACTTAAAACTGAAGAATAGAACAGAATAGAATTTTTTATTGGCCAAGTGTGATTGGACACACAAGGAATTTGTCTCCGACGAATAAGCTCTTAGTGTATATGCAAGCAACAAGTGATGAAGGATTATTTTCATAGGTAAGTGCCATAAGCATTTCCCTTATTTTGTTTATTTATTCAAAAGAGTGAAAAAGGATAGTGAGAACAATTAATCAGGGAATTACCTCCAGAATCTGTGGGTCTCTATCATTAGAGATTTTTAAGAAGCAATTGGACAGCAATTTGTCTAAAATAATAGTCTCCTGCTTGATCAGAGTTGGACTAGAAAATCTCCAAAGTCTCTTCTAACTCTGTTATTCTGCTAAAACTATTTCTTTTTTTTAATAAACAGATTGAATTGGGTATTGGGTGAACTAGATGATAACCATACCATCAAGGATCTATGTAGATTAGTTGTTAGAAAGGAGTTGATTCTTGCCCAATTAAGCTTTGCATTTATTATATAATCCTTTAATGCATCTTCATATTGTAGTCTTAATCTTGTTCCTCTATATTTGATTGATTTAATCCTGCCTTTATTATTTTTACAAATAACTAATGCAGTGAAGATATCTAATATATCTTCCCCCTATCTTCCCCACAACAACAACCCTGTAAGATGTGTTGGACTGAAAGTGAGTGACTGGCCCAAATTCACTGGCTGGCTTTCATGGCTAAGGTAGAATTTGAAATCAAGGTCTCTCATTTTCTAGCCTGGTGCCTCAACCACTAGACAAAATTGGCTCCATATACTGTATGCATTTATATCATGTTTATACAATAAAGTACATTTATTGTTTTTGGACTTCTTTTATCATATGTTCATATAAAATACCGGTGTTGAAATAAATTAATTTTGAAATAACAAGATTTATTGCATTTGATCTAAATTGTTATGTTTTCATTGTTCTGTCTCAATGTATTAGTAAACATTTTATTATTGAGAGCCATTTTGAGTTGAATTTACTTGTGGCCAAATTAGGATGCAAATAGTAAATCAATATAGATTCTCCTTGCTAGTTTCCCACTTCTGGGAGCATAAACTAAGGGACCTGCTGCTCTTTTGCTGTAAGCAAATTAAGCAGATAAACGGCAGGTTTGAATGTTGGGATGTGGAGACACTAGTCTAAAGACCCATTTCTTTTCTTAGATGGTAAAAACAAGGGCAAGGTTCAAGAATAGTCACAGCAAGACTGTATTCCTTGTATTCCTCTCCATTATTAATGTAAATCAGGGGTATCAAACTCGCATCGTCACTGTGTCATCACGTGATGTATCACGACTTTTTTCTCCTTTGCTAAACTGGGCATGGCCTGCATGTGATGCATCCGGCCCACTGGCCACCAGTTTAACACCCCTGATGTAAACCATTGGGGTGGTCATGGCTAAGTAAGTCGAATCAAAACGTCAGTAGGGTCTAATGATTACTTTCTTTTATAAGGGTTTGAAATTGCATTGGCATTACTCTCTCAAACATCTTCCTATAGGAGATTATATTAGTTGGTCACTGTAGGACTCTCGGATTAGGACCCCAAAATCCAGGTGTCTAAAAGATGATAGCAAAGAATTAAAACTTTTTTTTCTGTCATTCAGTGGTCATCTTGATTTTTTCAGCCTAGATCTAGTAAATAATTAAGAACTCCAAAAAGTACTGTGACTTTCTTGAAATAGCTCTCTCAAACATGCATCCCTCCATGCAGTATACAAGGGGCCCATATGCTAACCACCTTATTAAAAGGAATCAGGTGTGAAGTTCAGAGTTTTAAAAAACAGTCAAATAAAATAGATATATCCCATTGATTGTCTTTGCCTTATCCTCAGATTTTCAATAAGTGAAATAAATTTAACAAAACTGAACTAGATAGCATTCACTTTGTATTTGCATCAACAGAAGCATCCAGTTTAGCAAATATTAGTCCCTTATTTTTCATACTCTAGGCCAGTGGTGGCTAACCTTTTTGGGCTCCTGTGCCAAAAATTGTGCTCGCGCATCCGCTCACGTGCCAGCACCCAGAAGGCAAAGTGTGTGTCCCCCCCATGCCCCCTGTGCATGCGCGCACAATCCCCCGCGACCTCCCCCTTACCTGCACTGTGCCTCCCAGCTGATTTTCAGCCTCCCAGAGGCTTGAGGACAGCTTCTACAGCCTTTGTAGGTCGAAAAATAGGTCAATTTCATCACTTCCGGTATTACAGGAAGTGACAAAATGGGCCTATTTTTCAGCCTGCAAAGACTGCAGAAGCTGTCCTCAAGCTCTGGGAGGCCGAAAATCAGCTGGGAGCTGCACGCATGCACAGTAAGGTAAGTTTGTCTGCGGCTCGCGTGCTAGCACAAATGGCTTTGTGTGCCACCTGTGGCATGCGTGCCATAGGTTCGCCATCATGGCTCTAGGCAGAATGCTGTGATTGATCACACTACTTGAAATCCAGTTCTTCATTGTGTCTGATGATCTAAGGGGGAACACAAAGGGAAGCCACTACATCTTTCCTTTAAGGTGTTTTACCTTTTATCACTTTGTTTTCACACACCTTAACAAAAGTTTATGGCCTCCATGCTCCCAACTGAAATTCAATTTTCCTGTTGTATCATTAATGATTTCCCATTATATTAGAATATTCTTTTTCCTCTTGCTGGTTATATATCATTACCAAGGGATGGGGTTACAAACTGGAAGTTTTTTTCTGCACTGAGGATGTAATTCTTGGATAAGCTCTTTAATTTGGATTTTAAAAGTATTTTGTTTCATAGCAATATTTTAATAGTCACAGTAATATTTTAGTCACAACAAAGATTAGATTGTAACTATTATGTAATTGCTCTATCTTAGGTTAACCATGATATACATTTTTAAATGCCTGTTTTCACTACCTTAACATTCTTTCCAGTTACTTAACTTTCAAGATTTTGATAGTAAGAATTTCTGCTTCAAGTGTAACATTACACTCCACAAAGAAAACACCTATTTCATTCTCATATAGAATTCTTATTGATTTATTGTGCAATTATTTGCAGTTTTTTATTTTTCTATTATATATGTATATTGTATAAAGTAAACTTTGTATTGACCATTACATGGTACTGAGAATATGTACCTTTTCTGTTCTCTCCAAACCAAAAAGGATCCACCTGTAGCAGTGACTCTTGGACTGCGCATGGAAGAAATGATTTTTAATCTTGCTGATACTCATTTATTTTTCAATGATTTAGAGGTATGTATAAAATATAATATATATTACAACACCTATATCCAATAATCTCTATTTCTTCCAATTGTTTGTAGCCAGAAATAGAAAGTGGACAAGGTTAACTATATCTTTTTCCCAGATATTTTTTAATATAGTCAGATTGGCAAAATATGGACATCATTAACTAGATTATGTTGCTATTAACTTTAAAAAGAGAAGCAGGTCTATTTGGAAAATTCCATTAGATTTAACTTTCCATTGTTCTACTATAGGATATGATAAGAATTAAAAAGAAGCCTCTTGCTTTTTCATTTTCATCCTAAGACATTAAAATAGATGGGCTAATAGTGTATGCTCAGTTCTACTATCACCCAACCTACAAATACATTTGCCAAGGGATGGTGTTAAAAAGGAATGAAGAGCTTTTGAAACTTCCCCAGCAAACAATAAAAGCAACATCTATTCATGTTTTTTGCAGCCTGTCCTATCTCAACATATAGTTCCAATTCCTAAATCTAACAAAAATAGCTACTGATAGCTCAGAAACAAAACAAGAAGAGGTGAAAGGACAGGCATTTCTCATTATTACCTTAAACATGTATTTTCACTTGCTGATAAAAAATATCAGAATCCTGACATTCAGGGTATTCGTCTTTTGATCAGGGAACATTCTGTACACTAGCCTCCTTCCTGTAAATTTTAATTAATACAGGAAAACATTCTGACTTGCAATGAGTGTTGAACTTAGAAAGATGCACAAGAGCGCTGTACAAAGAACATTGTCTAGACTCAGTTCCACTTTTAGGCAAAATAAAATTTCCATGCTATTATTCCTTAATGTTACAGAATTTTGCATTGGGATAGTTTTATAATGAATTTTAAGAAAACATTTCAATGATTAGATTTGCTAAAGTTATATTTACATGTTGGATTGATAAGTCAAATTTTATTTTTCTTATCTCTTTAAATTATATAAATAGTTGGCCTGCATTGTATCGTTATTGTCAAGGAAATCTTTTCTCTTATATTTGGCAGTTAATCTATAGCAAATTTGTTGTTATCTGTCAGATAAAGATGAATAGAATTTGTTCTTCACCCTAAATTCTGTAACTGCTAAGATCTGCATAATAGAGTTTTTGTTTTTACTAGCAGTGAGTCATTGTTTTTATTGGATAATGAAGTTACTGATATTTCCAAAATGGTTTTTTTTTTCGTGGGTCAACTGTAGGTTTTATGCTTCTTAGTAAAAATGTCAAGTTCTGAAGAATTCTTTGGTAAGAAACTAGTTGTACTGAGACATAATTTAATTTAATGTTATAGCAGTCAAAATCATTTTGCACATGAATTTGTAAACGCTCAGTAATGGAAAATATATTTTATCTTTCTTAGTTTTGAACTTGCACAGCCAGTGGCCCACTGTGACTTGAGTATAGCCAGTTCTGTAGCTGTTTTAAAAGGTATTTTACCTTAAATTAACATTAACAGAGAGCTTCCTTACAACACAATTTCTACCTCATTTCTATTATAACCACATAGCAGTATTCTGATATTATGCAAGCAGATTTTAAATTTCCACTGGGAATGGGAGGGAATTAATTTAGGTTGATGTCCTTCAAATCTTTCATTATACATGAATTGATTTATGTATAGTTATCCTAAAATCTTAACAGGCTTGGGATTTAGCATAAATAACTATATAATTTTTCAGTAATAATTCTGAAAACAGTATAGAGCACAAAACACTATTTTGTGCCGCAAAGTATGTAATAGGAAATGACAAAATAATAAAAAAGGTGTACCACATAAGTCAGGGAAATAAATAAGCCACATTTATATCATATTTCCAGATTATAATTGGATTTTTAAAAGAAAGAGAACAGCAGACAAAATAGATGTCCCAATTTTAAAGACTATGGCAAATTTATAATATTTTTTAAAAATGAAAAAAATACATGAAAACAAAAGACCCATGAATCATTCATGAAAGACAGCTTGATAATCCATTTACGAATACCTTCAACTGGGATTCACATCAAGGATTTGACTTACTTAAATATATTCTAGCTAGACTGAAACACCCCTGTAAAATCTTATGTATTAATAGCCATGTTTCTGCTAGTTTGCCTATTTACTGTTTCCTCCTAAATTGCTTTCCTAGTACTAGGAAGAGACATGAGAAATTAAAAGGGGCAGAATGCTTTTTTTGTTTGTATCCAAAATCTTTGCCTTTTTGCTACATGGAGATTAACAGCAAGATTTTTTGTCCCTAGGAAGTACAAAGGCAAAGGAAAGTTTGAAATGTCTTGGTGGCATCACTCATCAATCATTTCCATCCCTTTCATTACTGCTTGCATGCTACACCATACTGTAAATTTGAGCCAAGGGTAAAGTGGATGTTCAAAACTGCTCTATAATAGTGTAGAGTTGAACAATAGAAAATGGACTGACAGAGAAAAACAAATGACATCACATGAAGTAACGCCAGGCAGATCAGCAAAAAAACAATTAGGAATAAGAAAAATATCAGTCTAGCATAAGAGTAGTAAACATTGCAAGGATCTCAGAAAGACAAACCTGGGACAAAGGCTCAATTTGCAAGAGCTTTCTTTTCAAAGTTTAAGTTTCCATTATAATGGAGGACCCAGATTGTTGTGGGGAATATGTTGACTCTGTATTGCTTAAAGAGGGCTATAAAGCACTGTGAAGTGGTTGTTTATTATTATTATTATTATTATTATTATTATTATTATTATTATTATTATT